AAAAAAAAAAAAAAAGGTGGAAGAAATATGCAGGGTCACTCTATTAAAAAGAATTGGTCAATGCCGCACTATTTCAGGAGTTAGCATATGATCAAGAAACAGTGGTATTGAAGGAAGAAGTCCAAGCTGCACTGAAGGAATCTGTGAAAAACAAGGCTTCAGGAATGACAGAATACTCATTAAGAAGTTTCAACAAATGGATGTAGTGCCAAGGTGTTTATTCATTTATGCCAAGAAATTTGGAAGACCAAATTACCTGGCCAACTGAAAGAGATCAATATTCGTGCCCATTCCAAAGAAAGGTGATCTGGCATAATGCAGAATTTATTGAACAAAATCATTAATATCACAAGCACGTAAAATTTTGCTAAAGATAATTAAAAAAAATGATTGTAGCAGTGTACTAATAGAGAACTTCCAGGAATACAAGCTGGATTCAGAATAGGACATGCTGATGTCAGACGGATCTTAGCTGGAAGCAAAGAATACCAGAAAGATGTCTACCTGAGTTTTCTTAACTATGCATAGACATTTGACTGTATGGATCATAATAAGTTATGGACAACATTGAGAAGAATGAGAAATCCAGAACACTTAATTGTTCTCATGAGGAAACTCTAAATAGACCAAGAGGGAGTTGTTTGAAGAGAATAAGGGGTTACTGTGTAGTTTAAAATCAGGAAAGATGTTCACCAGGGTTGTATCCTTTCATCATACTTATCCAATGTGTATGCTGAGAAAATAATCCAAGAAGCTGGACTGTATGAAAGACTGGAGGAAGAACCATTAACAACCCATGATATATAGATGGCACAACTTGGCTTCTTGAAAGTGAAGATGACTTGAAGCATTTACTAATAAAGATCAAAAAGTACAGTCTACAGTATGGATTACACTTCAACATAAAGAAAACAAAAATCCTCATAACTGGACCAATAAACAACGTCATGATAAATGCAGAAAAGATTGAAGTTGTCAGGGATTTCTTTTTACTTGGATCCACAATCCACACCCATGGAAGCAATAGTCAAGAAATCAGGTGTCATACTGCACTGGGCAAATCTGCTGCAAAAGACCTCTTAAAAGTGTTAAGAAGCAATGATTTCACTTTGAATACTAAGGTACACCTGACCCAAGCCATGTTGTTGTTGTTATGTGCCGTCGAGTCAGCCCCGACTCATAGCGACCCCTCCTTGGGTTT